ACAATTACAGAATATAAGGGAAATGCTTTAGCAAACTTCATCATCCCCTGGGCATGCTGCAATCAAGCTGTGTGAATGAAGTAAATAAATAAAACTGCAATCTAATACTGTGTTTCCTGAGGAGGAAATGTGTGCCACTAAAGTATGCCAAGCTTGCGTACACACCAGGGTCAAACAACACAGACCATGTGCAGATGGAGCTATGCACAGATGTAACCAGAACAATGTGGAGAAATACACAGTGTGTTTGTTCGGAAGTCAATGAATTGCTGTAAACTAATTTAATAGTCTTGTGATGTCATACGTACAGCTTAACTTTGACATTTTTGGAAGTAAAATGTTCCTTTTCTAAACCATATAACAGCATGTACCTATATGCAACTGGGCCAGGCCTTTGATACTCCCTTAAAAATTTGGTGTTGACAAAATTGTGCATCATGGGGGAAGCTCTTGAGCAGGTCACTCTTAGAAAGCTGGGATGTCGATGGGGGGAGGGCTGTATAACCTCTTCCTTCCTCTGAGCTCAATGGCTCCCATAACAGGCGACCTGGGGCCTCTTGGTGGAGTAGTTGTCATCGCCTGTTTCCGGTCTGCAAGTGTGGGAAAGTGGACGAGGCCTCTGCTGAACCCCCCGGCCCTTCTCTCGGCCTGCTTCCTGACCGCCTGCTAAATATACCGGGCCTTTTGTTCCGCACGGGCCCAAAAATACGCTGGCGCTGACATCAAACATGTTCTTTCCAAGTTCCTCCCGATGGCTTTTTCGGCCACTGACGTTCTTCCCGCTTGGCAATGGGCTTCACTTTCCTGAATGGTGTGAGGTAGCAAGAATGGAGATGAGAAGCGGGAAGAGGAAATGAAAACTACATGAATGTGGCCCTCTGAGTCAGTGTATTATCAGGTCGATTATACAGTGACTGCACAGTCAAGATGCGTATCATAGAGCTCCTTATGAATTGTGAAGAATTCTTATCTTCGAAACAGTCACATGATGTGCAGAATCTTGACAATATGTGAGTCCAATGCACTTTTTGTAATGCTGTTAGCGAGACAATTACTTCTACTCAGACTCAAGAGGAGAAAAAAAAACGAGATTCTATCATTGACAATGACAATTCAAGTAGCATATGATATGGTAAACCATTAATAAATGTAATTATATTAACACTGTTATAATAAACCATTAAATTAACTTTCCTCAAACCAACTGATATTACAATTTCTTCAAACAGGACAGTGAACCACATCTTAAAGTAGTTTGATTTTTTTTGCCCAATATGCCAGTCATTTGTAGGTTTGTGAGTCAGGGAGCAAATGTCCATTTTCCAGTAAACATATGATTACTTTTCAAGAAGTTTCACCTCTTTCAGGCAAAGAATGATCTGATTTCACAGCATTGGGATTGGGATTTCATAACATCATAGTGGATACACGCAACTTAGAAAAATGGCAACCATCAAAACATGTCTAGCTTGACTAGCTTGTTAGTGATTTTTGACACTTATATGCTAAATTGTTATCTGTTTTGGAGTATTTGAGAGTAAAAATAAATCAAAAGCAACTGTTATTAATAATTAATATTTTTTACTATATTTATATCATTTACTGTATATGTTATGTATATTTTATTATATACTTTAGATTCATGTGTTTACGTACATGAGATGATGAGAATGATCAAAAAAAAATTATTATTATTTAGCAGATGAATATTAGGTATGAGTTTTTCCTTTTAACTCAGAAGTGGAATGTGCCAGCTACCAAATCTTTACTACCGAAATAACAATTTACAAATGAATCTCTCTTTGAAAGACTGAATGGACCTACACTTAACCTGCAATGGAAGGCAGAAGAGTGAGTACTCAGATTTGATAGAATGCACTCAATAATTTATCCAGCAGCTCTTTCGTCAGTGGATGGTCGGAATTCACCATTCATTTTGCAAGAATTTCAGCTTCACTAAACCTCCCTCTTTGTACGGGCAAAGAGAAGGAAAACATCACCAAGGCTGGCTTGACCATCACAGCGGCCGAGACTTCCTGCCCGAGTCGGGCGACTATTTATGCTCTTGCCTTTCGGAAGGACTGGATGTTTCTATTCTTTGCTTTCCTCTCCTCAGTCTGAGTCACACATCAGGCTTGTTAAGACCGGGATTCTGGTTATTGGTACTGTTCAAGCTGAGTAATCATCCAGGATCTGGTGACTAAGCTTTTTGGACTTTGGTACATCCTTCCACAAGACGTAACGGCCCATATGTTAAAAGCATAATTTTATCTTTTTTAGTTGGGATCCTGTTGAACAGATCTGTTAGATGATGGATAACTATTTCCGTTTGCATGTAACAGGAAGTTATAAATGGGCCCTCAAATGTGAAAGCATATACTGATGTGAGTGAAACAGAACAGATAGTGTTTTAGTGCTCTCTCTCCCACATGTGCATCAGTCTCTATTCCTCCTGAAATCTCTCTCGCTTTACCTCCCAGGTCAGTGATCATGTTCGGTCCAAATGATGTGCTCAGCAATTTGCAGCATTTTGAAAAATGCAAGGAATCCACCAGCATTTCCTGTTTCCAGCATCCAGCCACCCAGGATTAGGCACACCTACACACAGCTGGCACAGCTTATGCACCTTGAGTCTTTCAATGGATGTATCACTCACATATATATCATAAAAAAGGCTCAGATGTTGCGCTTTTATAATTCAGGGTTAATGGTGGTCTCATTTTTGTTTCATTAAAGCAAGACTTCTGGGTTCAATAAAAGTTAAGATCAGTCAATTCTCGACAGCACCTCCTTTTCTTTCAAACAAAACAAAACAAAACAAAGATGTAGTGAACAATATAATTTCATAGCGATTTGTTCACGCAAAGAAAGAATGCGTAACTTTTATTCTCGCTGTTGCCGCCGCAGCCTAAACACATTTCATTACACCAAATACACAAAATAATGTTCTTTTTAGCAGCATCATATGACCCCTTGAATATGGATTGCTTAGCCCTGGAAATTTTTGATTAAAATGTTTCATATTGATATCATATATCAAAATCTTGGCAAATCTAAGCACAGTTTTGTGAAGTTGAGATCTTTTCTGAAACTTTAGAGAAACATGAGATTATTTAGGTCTTTTTCTCAGAATAAAAACAATGTTTTGTTTTTTATTTCTTGTGGTCTCACTCATTATTAATTGCTACAAATGACAAGAATAGATTATGTAGATTGAAATCATTATACATCACACATACATACACACTCATACATTTGATCCCATCTTCCCCACCGTGTCTGACAGTGAATGTCTCCCAAATTCATAAAAACGGACTCAGTCTAAAATAATGTGGGGCAGCCCTCGAAGGACCTGGGTCAGCTCTATCACTGTGAGAATCTCTCCCTTCTTGCCCCCAAGGGAAATGTAAAACAGCTCTCTTTTTTTAGACAGCGGAACACAAGAGGATATTGGATCACCACAATCGAGAACATCTGCAGGGAGATTTTGCGCCGCTCATTCCCCTGCATGTGCATGTATGTATGTGTGTGTGGGGGTTGGACAGGAGGGGGCCGTTAAGTGAAAAACACACAGATGATGACAGAATCATGTTACAAAAACATGCATGTATCGCATTCAGCACATGCTATCTTGTCCCTCAGAGGCCACACAAACTTTGTACAGATATGTGCTTACTCTCTGTTTCTCTCTCTCTTACACACACACACACACACTAATGCCCTTTAATGGTAGTGCAGTGTGTGCTGCTTCCCTGGCTGGGGCCAAATAACAGATATTATCCTCATCATAGTTTGACCTCTTTGGACGGCTGTAGCAAGGGCCATCAGAGAGTGCTGAGAAAAACACAGCCACTCGATATGCGCAGAACTGGGAGAGAGAAGAGCTCAGCATTGCCGCTGTTGAAATGACAGGACTGCATGTATCGAGCAAGGGCAGATCTATATTACAGCTGCAGCAGTAGATCCATACTGCCATTGATTGACTGGGGAAGCACACACAGGAATATGCATGTAGGCCATGGCATGGAGAGGTAAAAAATAAAAAAATAAATAAAAAAAGTTACAGATGTGGGTTAAATAATCTGAGTCTGGCACTGAGAAAGACTTACAAAAAAAGTACTGTTGCTGTACAGATGGTATCAAATGACTAGCACATTCATGATAGTTGTGTAGTTAACATGACATACTTTTGTTAACTCGTTCTATAAACTATACGCAAACTTAAACAACATTTAAAACTTCATAAACATATAACATAATATTATGCATGCAGCTTTTATGACTTCATTATAATTATCAATAGATTACATAGAATATTTGTATTAATTTAAAAATCAATTTAAAATTAACTGGTGAATGCAAACAATCTATCTATCTATCTATCTATCTATCATCTACATACATACATATGTAACTATGCATTCGATATATTTTATTAATGTAAGTTTTAGAATTAATGATATATTATTTTTATTTTACATATAAATATTTTATTTGATATTTTAAGATATATTTATATTTGAAAATCATTTTATTATTTTAATGTTATTTTTCGTAAACTATAAAGCAAGTCTGTGATGTGTTATTACAATTACAAGGTCTTTTTTATATACAGTAAATGCCCCCCCCCCAAAAAAAACAATAATACCACAGTACCATATCAAAGAAAACATGGTTATTCTACTTTTTTGTAAGAGGAGATAAATAAACAGAATAAGGGAGGGGAAAAAAACAAGAGAAAACGTAGTGAAAAGGAAAGAAACGTGGCTTAAAACACACACAAGCTTGAGTGGGAGCTGGAAGAGCAGAATTCCAGAGACTGGAGAGTCATGGGGCCGGCAGCGGAAGTGTGCTAAAGCTCTCTCCAGTGACCCCTGACCTTGCAGATACCATTCCCATCAACTCCTCCTCCAGCTGTCTGCACTCAGCCACCCAGCAGGCCCGCAAACAGTCCTCCTCCTCTCCTCTCCTCCCCCCACTCCCTCGCTCTTTCTTCCCTCGTGCTCTTCCGTCTCCCCCGCCGCACATCATTCATCCACCACGCCATACTTTTTAAGTACAGTCCCACCTCAGCTCAAAGCATGACTTTATATACAGTGGGTACGGAAAGTATTCAGACCCCCTTAAATTTTTCACTCTTTGTTATATTGCAGCCATTTGCTAAAATCATTTAAGAGTGAAAAATTTAAGGGGGTCTGAATACTTTCCGTACCCACTGTATATATATATATATATATATATATATATAATCATCTTTATACGATTTATATGAATAATATAAATATGTTTTAAAATATTAATCACATTACTATCACTATTTTATTTAGCGATTTAAAAATTTGTATCTCTCAAGGGACAATGGGAAGAAACTGCCAAACTGCCTTGAATTTCAATCCCACAGGGTTGAAAATGGTTCGGTGGGAACTTGTTAACAGGGAGGAAATCTCCCATCTTTCCCACCATCTCAGTGCCCACATATAAGACCAGCAAGATACATAGATCTCAGCCAACCCAACATTAAAACACACTTCACATACTTTAACACAAACACCGCCAACCTCTAACCGATCACCACAAAACAGATGGGCCCTCGGCAAGCCACCGGAAAACTTTGTCGCAGCCGTGGCGTGATATAGCAACGTGATCTCATGATAATTCGTATGTATTTTACGTAAAATGTGGTTCTATAAAACTTTCATTTACTTACATTTTACAGGCACTAAAACGTACAATACTGACGTATTTTCAGCATTTAAACATACAAAACTGACGTATTGACGACACCTAAAAATGAATCCTTATGAATATTGAAATCGCGGCATTAATTTTATTATTAGTTGTTTTTAGTTGTCATATCAATTACCTTGTTTTCAACTGCATTATTAAATTGTTTACTCGTTTACTTAATATGAAATATTAACATTTCGTTTTGTTGTGTGATTTCTGCTGCCAGCTCGTTTCCAAGAATAGGCCTAAAGTACATAATGTTAAACAAGACTACACTTTAAAAGCCCTTAAAATAAATAATTTCTGCAATCGTTTAACCTTTACTTGTCATGTAATGTTTACTTTGATTGCCATGGGCCACAAAGGGCGTTTTCTCCGACATGCTGTGACTGACAATAGAACTATAAAATACGCCAAATCCACAACATAATTACGAAATGAAACAATTTTATTAGTGCGCTGTAATCCAAATCTTCCGAATCCATAGGACTGCGAAGAACAGACCCAAATCCAAGCCTTTTTTCGGCGATCTGCTTGCTTCTCCATCCCGAGCAGCGAGTCCAGAGTGACCAGTGACCGTAAGCAGCAAAGCCCGCGCTGACTGATGCGCTCTTTACAAATTCAAATGTTGCCGCTTCAAACGACAGGTTTTACGGCAGGATAATCGAACGCTCATTGGCTCTCGCCTACATTCGTCACAGATTGCGACAAGCCGTGTTTCTGGTGAGGTGTGTTTGAATGATGCGCGCGCGCCTTCACGAGTTCATGGAGTGGAGCGGGAAAATAATCTGGATAATTAACTATATAATTTCATAGCGATTAACAACATAATTTCTGCTCTGCACCTCAAACAAACCTACTGTATTCCGCCAGAGAGGACTGCGGGTGCAACGCATCGTCATTTGGATTACTTTTGGTACTGCTTTTGACATTTTTTGCAATAAATAAATGATTGTAATTGCATTTATCTGTCTGTCATGTTTTTCTTATACTGTACAGAAATGTTTAGGCTTATAGGTAGGAGTGGAAT